TATTGTTAAGCTTATATAGGTGGTTTTTTCATTTTGGTTATTTTTTATAACATAGTTGTTATTTTCCGTCAGTTATCGTAGTATTATTGTATATTGTGATAATACCATGATATTATTAAGTTAATATAGGTGATTATTTCATCCCGATTGTTTTATTATAAAATAATTATTATTTTCCCTCTGATATGATAGTATTATTGTAATATTGTGGTAATATCATGATATTATTAAGATAATATAAGTTAAAACAACTGGCATGAATATTATAATTTCAACATTTTAGTCGTATTTAGTTAATATTATGGTAATATTAAGATTTTATTGCTTTTTATATCATAGATTTCTGTAATGAAATGTATATAACTAAGATACGACCGCAAAGTGGAGAATACAGTAAATGAATATTTCAATCAAACCATGATATATTCCTTATCGAGCGCTATTATATCCTGGTTGTATTATGGTAATATTTTGGTAATATTCAAAGCAGATTATTCAATGCTGGCTATAAAAAACTCGTAAAAGATTTTAATCAATCCTAGCTTATTCTAGACATATTTAGTGAATATTATAATAATTATAAGGTTTTATTGTTTTTTATTTAACACATTTTATGATGAAGTATATAAAAACTTCTTAATATTATAAATATATCCTCGAAAAACCAAGATACGACCGCAGAGTGGAGAATACAGTAAAAGAATATTTCAATCAAACCAGGATATATTCATTATTGAGTGCTATTATATCCTGGTTGTATTATGATAATATTATTCGTAATATTTTGGTAATATTCAACGTATGTTATTCAACATTGACTATAAAAAAACTCGTAAAATATTTTAATTGATCCTAGCTTATTCCAGACATATTTAGTAAATATTATAATAATTATATGGTTTTATTATTTTTTATTTAACACATTTTATGATGAGATATATAAAAACAGCTTAATATTATAAATATATCATCGGAACAACCAAGATACGACCACGGAGTGGAGAATACAGTAAAGAAATATTCCAATCAAACCAGGATATATCCTTATCGAGGGTTGTTATATCCTGGTTATATTATATTCAATGTAGGTTATTCAATGCTGGTTATAAGAAACTCGTAAAATATTTTAATCAATCCTAGCTTATTTCAGACGTATTTAGTGAATATTATAATAATTATATGGTTTTATTGTTTTTATTTAACACATTTTATAATGAAATATATAAAAAACAACTTAACATTATAAATATATTCTCGGAACAACTAAGATACGACTGCGGAGTGCAGAATACAATTAATGAATATTTTAATCAAACCAGGATATATTCCTTATCGAGTGCTATTATATCATGGTTGTATTATGATAATATTTTGGTAATATTCAATGCAAGTTATACAATGTAGTATAAAAAAAACTCGCAAAATATATAATCACAACTAGCTTATACCACTCGTATCTGCATGAATATTATCGTAATATTGAGGTTTTATTTCCGTTTATTTGACATATTTTTGTAATGAAATGTATAAAAATAGCTTCAAGATGTTGATAATATTAACCACAGACTATAATAAACTGACAAAATATCAAACAATATTACCACTGCAGAAACTACATTAATACAACATTACATTCATTTGTTGTAGTTTCTTGGTATTTCACATATCATTTACGTCCATCAATAAGCTCGTATCATTTAGGTCCATCAATAAGGTCGTATATGTGTTTATGGGCAGTGATGCATGCAATTCCTACTGATTTTGGGTAATAAAAAATGAATGTAAGTAAATAAGTATAATCAAAATTAGTTCACAAATTATAAAGTATTTTGAATTTTAAGTTATGTATCTGACTATATCGATCCAACATTGCAAACATGTTTGGGTCGGATGGATGAAATGTATCTTGACTTGAGCCAACATCTTTGTCCTTTCCTGTAATACAATGCTTCATGTTAGGGAGAGTTTATTGATATTATTGATAATGAAGACATGTTTATTAATATTACTGGTAATTCTTACTTTTTACTCTCATGTTCTTCTCCCAATACCCTTTTAACCTTGCATTAGATATTCCTTTTGGCCGCATTTTCATTGGGTCATTCAAATTGTGTTGTATATTCGGTGTCTTTTTCTTCTTTGACTTTGGCATTTCCTGCTGGTCTCTCCCATTCAATATGATCTCTGATTCGATTGTTAGTTTCTTTAATGTCTCCATGACGTTTTTCTCAGCAAGTTCATTGCCTTGCGTAAATATACTAATATCGTATGCAAATTTATGAACATGTGTTTGATATATGAGTCCACTTAAACAACTTAGTGACGTTTGCGAATCCTTAAGATGTTTATACCCATAACTATTATATATATCCCACTTTGCATGAACAGACCATCGTAATAATATATATTTATCAGGATTCTTTGTTATATTCTCATGACTAAGCACCCTTATAGTGTGAGAGCATAATAAACCCATCATTTCAATTTTTTTGCAACAACATGTAATTTCAGAGTTACTTTTGTTAACTTTAACAATCCAGGGTCTGTATGTGTATCCACTATTTAAGTTTCTAATATAAAATTCAAAATCTTTGGTGACTGAGCACTCCACAACAAGTCCACACAAACCATGTAGCAACTCTGCTTTAAATATTGAAAATAACTTCCTCATATAAACTAAAACATATTGTCTCAACACAGGACTACTTTCTATGGCAGGAACAATTGCAGACTGTTCATATTTAAAATCTTCATCCTTCTCATTTCTCGCCAATATTTCATGACATTTTCAAGACCCAATAAACTTTTAGTGAGGGTGCTTTTTGGCTTGGAGGCACCATGACAGATGTTATTCACGGACTCACTTCTTTGCGTTGATTAGATTCCGATAGCAAATATTTTCTTATTGAAGGCAGTTGACCACTTATGCCTGATATTGTACAAACTATTCAACAAAGCATTGTCATGTAGATTTCATAACTCAATCATTGTACGTCAGGTTTCTTCAAACTCCTCCTCGGAGTTGCATCTACCAATGCATTTATAAAAAAGCTCATTGAAACTATTGGTTTTCACACCATAATGGACTTTTAAAGAAAATTTCTTGTAAATATATCATTGACAAAATCTATATCTGGTGTGCAGAAGATACTCTTCAATGGCTCTTGCTATTGCTTGATATTGGTCAGTGAATATTGATCTCGGATGCTTGTTATCCATTATTCAGATAAATGATTTGAATAGCCACTTGAATGTGTCAACAGTTTCATCTGACAAAAAACCAACTCCAAATAGAATATTCTGCTAGTGGTGGTTCACACCGATAATATGAACACAACATAAATTGTATTTATTAAGTCTATAACTTGTATCAAATATTATGACATCTTCAAATCAATCGTAATCAAGTCTGGATATCCCATTACTCCAAAAGAAATTCAACAAACTACCAGACTTATTAATCTGGACGTTCATCGTATCTTCAGCTTGCCTCTCACGTAGAAGAGAATTAGCGTCCCCATGTTCAATTTTAAATTTTCTCTCTCTTTGTATGAAATTATAATCATCCCTCTTTGTGCAATTAAGATTTTCTACACCCTCGAATTCTATAGCCAAAAAACTAAATGATCGCTTGTTCTAATCCCTGATTGTAGCATCAATCTAAGCACTTTTGCATTGATATCACTCATATTTCTGCTGCAACGCAATAGATGTTTGCTACTGTTCGCCACCAAATGATGGTTATGACTTTCTATAAATTTCTTAATCGACCAGTTACCTTCGAGATCGACGACATATTAGATCGTGGCTGGACAACCAGTCATTCTATCCCCTCTTCTGTACTTCGCCGTCACATTGTTATTCAATTCTTTCTTGAAACTAGTCTTATCACAAATGAAATTCTTTGTCTTAATCATGTTTGGCTTCGGCTAAAAACCAACGTGGTCCTTTTGCACAGTAAATCCAATTTGGTGTGCATATGCACAATATTGTTCATTGCTTCTTTCTCATTATGAACCACTGTGCGAAGCAAACTTTTCACAATTGGATCAATGCACACAGTTACAGGCTCAGGGAACTGCAAATTTCAATATATCACCATTAAAATGACAAAAATAACACTTTAACAAAACCAATTAATAAATCCAATAAGACTAATATGAAACGATACAAAAATAATAATATAATACCACCATAATAATGCATAAATAATACCATAATAAAACAAAAGTTGTTCAAAGTCAATAATACAACAATAATATCATAATATAACTATAATAACACAGAAATAACACCAAAATAACACTAATTACAACGACAACATAACACAATGATAATACCAAAACATATAAAATACATTATGATTGTGTTATGGTATTATAATAACACAAATGTGCAGTTCAAAACGACTGTGTTATTTTAGTGTTATTATGATATTATTATGGTCATATTAAGATGATATAAGTGATTTTTTCATTATGGTTCTATTTTACTGTTATTATGACTGTATTATGGTTCTAAACCCTTAACTCTAAACACCATGCTAATACATAACTAACATCACGTCCACCCTCAAACATAACAGTAATGTTGCAATCAAATCATATAGTAATCAAACAAGAATAGCTATTTAATATTTCAATCATTAGGACACCATTAATAACACCAGTAAATAGAAAGAAATAAGTTCACCTGCGGAACGTTTCGTGCTTCAGCTAATAAGCTCAGCTCATTCGCATCATTTTCGCAATCATTTTGCGATTCCATCAACATTGCTTGGTCGAGAGAGAAATCAATCGAAAGAACCCTAGTCGTCGAACACGATTCTGAATACAAACACAAATATAAAAAGAAAATAATTCTTGAACACTAAAATAAATTAAAGCTAAAAATTCTTTTCTTCAGTTTTGACGGGAACGGGGCTCGGGTGGGGTGTCACTTTAAAAACAATTTTTATTTTAATTTTTTATTTGATACCTGCGGTCTCGGGAGGCCTGAATAATTTCTCCTTCCTCACGAGCGCTTCATATCAGTTAGGGGTTGTATTTCCTCTTCCCGTTCGCTGTTACTTTCGGCATTCGCAAGAGGGTTGAAGCTGCTGCCGCCATATCTGCTACTTCTTATTGCAGGCTGGCGATCTCAAGGGCAACGATGGCCGTCGTCTCTCTTTCTCTCTATATCGTTTTTTTCGAGTTTCTTTCCTTGTTATCGCTATAATGTGTGTTTTTATTTCTTCTCTATTATTTTTGTCACGGATAGCGAGTTTTACCATCTTTTTTATCATATTTGTTTCGAGGATGGAACTGATCGGGCCTCATTGATTATACCAAATGCGTATGTCAAGTTAACTGGTAGTTTCTGATTGAGCGGTGTTCGGTGGGAGGTTTATCATGAATCTACGAGCGATGACATTGTCCTTTGGGCAGTATATTGTATTATAACTCAAAGAATGATGGCATAATCTTTGTAGTTCGTCGTGGTAATTGTTTTAAGAGCAGCTTTTGTTAGCTAGATCAATATGTGTTCTTCGTATTTGCATTTTAGGTGAGCATTGCATTCAAAGTTATCCCATTTTAATACAATTTTGATAAATTTTTGTTAGTCATGGTTATAGTTGTTTTAGTAGTCCCGTCCCACATAGAGAAACCAAGAAATGTAATCAATGTTTATTGAAATAAGTAATCCCTAAGAGCTGAGGCCAAATATTCTTACAGTAACCATTGACTTGGTGATACCTAGTTCAAAAAATAGTGCAAACGAAAATAAACTTTTTATTAACTCCGAATTAGGGTTACAACACTGGCACAAATTGGAAAGGAAAGTACGACACAACAACAACACTCTCCATCTAGGGCCAGAAGAGAAGATCCGAGGGCGGTGGTGGCATCAACGAGGTGGCAAAGGGAAACGGGTGGCTGTGTGTTAGATTGAAAGGGGGATTTGTAGGCCGATATGTGTGCTGGAGGAGTAGGCGGATAGGAGAATGTAGGGGAACTTGTGGTCAGATGTTGGAGGAAGGCTGTCTAAGCGGGGCAGCAAGCAGAAATGCCGCAAATGGATCGGTTGGCTGCATGATGGGGCCTGAGAGTGGGGACAGCCGATCGTCGGCTAAGGGAGTTGGTCGACTGTTAGGGGGCTGGCGAGATAGGGAGAAAGTTAGCGGTAACTAAAAGGGGTAGGGAAGATGAAATTGGAGAGATGATAAAGGATACAACACCACCTCAGAGCAGGATGCAACCGAAGCATCATCCATTGTCACATACAACCTTAACAAGGGAGAAGAAGAAAACTCCAAGAGAATTTTGAAAACAACAACCAAACAAAAAACTAATCCTAATTTCAGAAAACAACACATATAAAGATCCTGTAGGGATAATAGTAAAGGGGGAGAAAGGGTCGGCGTCTTGGCGACCCCTCCTAGGGGCCACCCTATCCTGTTGAACCGGAGCCCTATGGACCGACAACACTGGTCTACCTGCCAATCTATTCAGCCGGTTGGCCTTCCTACACCCGTGCCACTTAGTCTTTCAAACTTTCGTTGAATGGTTCAAAGCTAAGAATGTATTTGTACCATCAATATCTTGGAGTAAGGTAGTTTCAACTTTTTATGATGGTGCCATGGATAGGAATCAGAGAGCCGATGCCTAGGACTGTTTGAACTATCATATTTGAAGTTTGTTCAACGTTTAATTATGAAACTCTTGTGCAGAAAGGATGAGATTGTATAAATTTCCTTATATGTGTGCATTGGATCGAAATGCATGCTTTGTAAGTGATTTTTAGATTGTTGCAACTAAAACTTGAATGAGCTTTTAGTTGACTGACTGTAATGTGTGTGAGAAGTGATGTTTTAGATGTTCTCATAGCTAAAATTATGATTTTTTTATTCTCATTGAAGTTGATTGTTGATATCAATCCCAAATAAAATAGAAATAAGAATACTTAAAGCATTTTTTCCAAACACAATAAGGAAAGTGTGTTTGTGTTAGTTTTTGATTTGAAACAAATATTGATGCTCTTTAAAATATGTGAGAGTGATCCTTAGAATGTGATAACACAAAAGTTTATTGTGGCCTTGTCTGGAAGCTGTAGCATTTAGATGAGATACACAACATAGTCATATTAGATGTTTCATTTTAAAATATCCCGAACCCTATTCTATCTTGTTTTTATTATAATTCTGTGGTATTTGTTGCTCGAACAACATGAAGCTAGACATACATCTTGGTTTTATAAACATGGCTTTTTACATGATAATTCTAGAAGCTAGTCTTTTTTTTTCTTTTTCAATTTTCACATTTTTATCTATTATTGATTATTTATATTAATTTTTTTGTTTATTTCATCTTCTCTTGACTAAATTCCTTTTGTCTTAATGTAGGAGTAAGAAATTGCATGTTGAGCCGAAAGGTTTCTTTGAGGAAAAGCTTATCTGATGTATCTTTTCTAAATCCATGGGTATTAAACTACTCAATCAGGTTCGCTCATATGGAATGGGCCCGACATCATCCTCATCACCTTTTCAACGGTTGTCCAGGGTTAGGGCAGCTTGGCTGGCGTTACTAGAAGAGAATGAGCAGTTAAGGGAAGAATTTGAATTTATCTTGAATGAGATTGAACAGATCAGACGGGAGATGGATGACCTTAGGAGGAGGCTTTTTATAAACAATGCAAATTGAAGCCAGTTCAAAAAATATTGTGACAAGGTTAAACATAGATTTTAATATTTTCTTCTACTCCTTGCTGTTTCAAATTTTTCAATATTTCCATTCATCATCAAGTTAAGAATATATTGTGATTCCTTGGGGTCATGTGCTATGCTATGCTCATTAACAAATGAGATAATCAAGCTGATGCATTCAATCCCTTTCACAAGCATGCTGTGGTAAAACATGACTTTGTGTTTTAACATTTAATTTATACTAATGGTAGCCCAAACTGATATGTGATGGTAAATTTTTTCAGTTTGGCTTTCCATCATAGTATTATATGTGAAGGTTAGATCTTGAATTACGATTTGTTAACTTAGAGATTAACTTTTTATTGATTTAGAAAAAGCTTACGATAAGGTTCCAAGAGATATCCTTTGGAGAGTTCTCGAGAAGAAATGTGTTGATATGACTTATATTGAAGTCATTAAAGATATGTATACTAGAGCTGTTACTTGTGTTCAAACTGAAGGAGGATTGACAAAATATTTTCCTATTTCTGTTGGTTTACATCAGGGATCGACTTTAAGCCCATATCTTTTTGCTTTAGTTATGGATGGTCTTACTGGACATCTACAAGAGGATGTACCTTGGTGTATGCTTTTTGCTGATGATAATCTTCTCGTGGATAAAACGAGAGAAAAAGCCCAGGAAAAACTTGAATTATGGAGGTCTACATTGGAGTCTAAAGGCCTTCGTTTAAGTAGAACTAAAACTGAATACATGGAATGTAATTTTAGTAGTAATAGCTCTAGTGACAGAAGTGTGAATTTGGGTGATCAAATTATTAAAAGGTGTGAACAATTTAGATATCTTGGGTCCGTTGTCCAAAACGATGGTGATATAGATGGGGATGTTAATAGTAGAATTCAAGTTGGTAGGTTGAAGTGGAGGAATGCTTCGGGCCTTTTGTGTGATAGAAAAGTACCGCTAAGACTGAAAGGAAAATTTTATAAGATGGTGGTGAGACCTGCAATGCTCTATGGCGCTGAATGTTGGCCTTTAAAAGAGAAGCATAATAATAAGTTAAGTGTTGCCGAGATGAGAATGATTAGGTGGATGAGTGGCTTTACACTTAGAGACAAAATGCGGAATGAATATATTCGTGATAGAGTTGGTGTAGCTCCTGTGACAGACAAAATTAGAGAAAGTCGCCTTAGATGGTTTGGTCATATTAAACGTCGACCATTAGATGATCCGATTAGGAGAGTAGATGTTTTAAATTCGACTTGTGTTAAGAAAAACAGAGGTAGACCTAGGAAGACTTGGGCTTATTGTATTAAAAATGATCTTAATTTACTTTGTTGTTGTTGTTGTTGTTGTTGTTGTTATGGATTGATTCAGAAGGTAGAATTTAGAAGGTATTAAGTTTTGTTGTGAAACAAAACACTCATGAATGGACAGAGAAATGTGTTGTGGGGAATTCTTGGTTATACCTTGTTGCTTGAATGTTGATGGTCTTTTGTGTTTTAGATGTTCAACCCATTTGAGCTGAAATATAGAGGTATTTGAAAAAAGAAGACTTTAATCTTTGAGCTGCATTATCCTTTTAAAATGAAGATGTATGCCTGGATCTATGCCCGAATGTGTACAAACCAGTACAAGCATGCCTTATTCTGGTATTCTTCTCTTAGTATAGAACTTAATATCAAATATGGTAACATTTGCTGCTGTGTATTTTTAACAACTTTTGGAATTCTATTATAATAGGCCTTTTTGGCTAAATGATTCTAGCTAATAGCTAATAGCTATTTCTGAGTTTGTTTTAAGTGAAGTGTATGAAGATAAGTTATGTTATTTCATAATTCATTTATTTGCAAATTTGGCGCAAGTGAATTGGTTCAAATTTACCTTATCTTTTTTTTTTTCCGAGACCTTGCTTCTCTTACATTGAGACAAAACTAATCTATTCAATTATGAACTCATGGTACATATATGAAACGATCCAAAATGACTTAAAAATTATAAATTATGATGTAGCCAATATTTGTAAAATAATTCACAAAATAACACGTAATTACATATTTTATTTTGATAACTAAATAATAACGTGTTAGTATTATTAGTTTTCCAAGGGATATTTTCTTATTATTGCTAGTTGTTCTTAGTACTTAATGATCCTCTAGGACATTATATTCCTCATTTCATAAATTGGACACCATTCTGCTAAAAAAATGCAGAGAAACCTTTGCCGTCTCAACATAGTATTGCAGAATGAAAACCATAGCCATCCCCTTGTTAATCTCGAATTGATCTTAATCTAGTATTTGACCTGCATTGTAGCCTTGCCTTGGTTGCACACCTCACCTCTCCTCGCTAGTATTCCTTCCTTGCTTTGGTCTACTTCCACACTCACGCTTTTGTTTCAACTTGGTCTCTCTGAGTACCCTCTTTTGTGCTTGCTTGCCTTGCCTCACTGGCGCTTGCTTCCTTATGAGCTACTTGTCTTACTATGCTATAGTTTCCAGAACTTGGTCACCCTTGAACTCCACACAAGCTTCGATTTACGGGTTTGACTGCAATACTAAGCCTATTCTTGCTTTGCCAACTTGAGCATATACTATCTCAATACCATTGTACCAATTCGTTAAGCCCTTCTCATATATCTACCTCTCCTCTCCTCTCCTCTCCTCTCCTTCTCCAGGTTTACACTTGATGGCCTTCTTATCTTAGAAAAACTCCACTCAAGTTGTCCCAATCAGCTTAAAATCTACATATTGACAAGTTTTTTAATCTCCACTTGGCTATTGTTATTCAAAAAGGTTAACGATAAATTGCTTTTCATTTTATTTTATTATATGTGCTCCTTGATGGTCTTTCCTTCATTTTTCATTGATATATTATGTCTTTGCCCATCTTGCATATTGTTGGAACATAGCAAGGTACGCTACAAAATTTTTGATGGAAATAAGTTATGGATATTGAAATGAATGCCTTAGTCAATTGATTTACATTGATATTGTTTTGTCTCTGGCATTAAACCCATTGTTTGTTGATTAATTTACATCATCAAATTTCATCACGGTGGATCTGTTGATGGATATAAAGCTCACCTAATTGCCAAATTATTTACTTTGGTTTATGAGAAATTATTTTAACACATTCTCCCGGTTACTTGAGTCAATTCTATCTAAATTTTACTATCTATGGCCATCAATCAATATTGACCATTACTTCAAATAGATGTTAGTAGTGCCTACTTGAATTGTGAAATTGCTGCAGCTTTGTATATGGAGCAATCTATTGGGTGTGCTGCTCCGCAGGAAACCAAAGTATATAAGCTCATCAAGACTATTCTTAGGATTTAGCTAAATCCTCATGCATGCTTTTTATAAAATTTGGAAGTTTAGATTTGTGTTTACTATTTGTAGTAGCAGATATCACTCCAACTTTATCAGAGAAACTTTCCATTGGTTTTGTTGATAAAAATTTACAGTTTATTAACTTTATTATGCAAAGTTAAGTCTCTTTTGACGCTGAATCGAAAAATACATAAAACTTTTGCCAAATGATAATTTAAAGATCAAAATCTAAAAAGTTTGCAAGAAATATTATAATGAGTAAATTTTTTTCAACGATTAAAACTTAAATAAAAAAGAAGAAAACTTGATTGTTGTAAATTTGGAAATCACAGCAAGCTTTCAAAAATCAATTACAAGTGCTTGGATGGAAAAAATAACGATAAAAATCATTAGAGATCTACGCTTCATCTTTGTACAATAGCAAATTTTTCCACATATTGTTTTTCCAACACCTGCAATGCGCTTGAAGAATTCACATCTAACAACACACATGTTTAATAGGTAACCTAAATACCGTTAAACCATAGATGATCATTTATTTGTTCAGAGATCTATTTATAGCAAAGAAAGCTTCCAAATCGATAGTTTCTCAGAGTCTCCAAAATATGGTCTATATATGCAAGTTTTGTTTTCATCGATTGCTAAAAATAGTAACCGGCTGATTTCTACTATAATTCCAAGTTGTGAGAACAAGGAAACAAGCCATCAAGTATAGCTACAATCAGAAATGTAAGGAAAGAAATGAATTAACAATTTGATTACAACTACAATGCTGTGAAGCGATGGAAACAATTGACTTCAATCTTTGCTACGTTCTAGAACATGAATAACGTAAAACAATGAAATAACAGGGGCGTGGTCTTTCTTTGTTATAGTGTATATCGAAAAAGAGAGAAGGATTCTTCACTAATCTATCTGGCTTGAAAAGAAAATAGCTTTGAAGTATTGAGTAATTGATATTTGTCATTCAAATTTGGATATAATTGTTGTGTTTTATGTAAATTAATCTACGAATTATCACAAATCTATTACTCCCATCCAGAATGTGTACCTTTGGTTATTATCATCACTTGTTAACAATCTCATCATTTTTTAATAGCTTTTGGAACAAAATGCATATACCTATATCAGAAAGTATTCTATGTGACTTTGGAAGGGATGAAAACAGAGAAGAATACAATGAAGACTAGATTAATATCAATACTTTTCACATTTTAAATATATAAACATTTATTCTAATGTGCTATATGATTTTATATGGCCCTCCCTCTTTTATAGTTAATTTTTTAAAGGTTTCCATAGGAAGTCTTTCAGGACCGTTGTTCAATTATCATATCACTTTGTTTGTATTTGACGTTGCTTATTGAAATCAACAATATATGTATAAACTATAAATGGCAGTCAATTTATTGTGAATATTTTCACAAAACTTATGTGAATCATACGCATCATACAAATGAGTCAAGTGATATGAAATAAGTAATGGAATACAGTAGGGACATTTACATACATACCACCCAATTTTTATGTATTTACATATCACATAAAAAATATCACTATTTTAATTAAAAAAAAATGAATATTTTAGGAAAAACTTGAATTATTTAGGTCTACATTGGAGGCAAAAGGCCTTCATGTGAGTAGATCTAAAACTAAATACATGAAATGTAATTTTTGTAGCAGTAGATCCAGTGGCAGAGTTGTAACAATGGGTGATCAAATCATTAAATGTGTGAATATTTTCGATATCTCGGGTTTATTGTTCAAAGTGATGGTGATATAGATGGGATGCTATAGTAGAATTCAAGTTGGTTGGTTGAAGTGGAGGAATGCTCGGGCCTATTGTGTGATGGAAAAGTACAACTTAGACTTTAAAGAAAATTTTATAAGATGGTGGTGAGACTAGAAATGCTTTTTTTGCGCAGAATGTTAGCCTTTAAAAGCGAAGCATAAAACAAATGTAAGTGTTGCTAAGATGAGAGTGCTTTGGTGGATGAGTGATTCGACACTTAGAGACAAAATGCGAAACAAATATATCCGTGAAAGGGTTGGTGTAGCTCCAATGGCAAACAAAATTAGAGGCAGGTAGCTCCAATGGCAAACAAAATTAGAGAGAGTCATCTTAGATGGTTTGGTAACTTTAAATGTCTACCATCTGATGATCCGGTCAGGAGAGTAGATGTTTTAGATTGGACTTATGTTAAGAAATACAGAGGTACACCTACAAAGACTTGGGCAAATTGTATAAAAATGATCTTAATTTATTAGAATTAAATGACAATATGACACTCAATAAGACACAATGGAGAAAAAGAGACACAATGGAGAAAAAGGACACAATGGAGAAAAAGGATTCATGTAGCCTACCCCACTTATTGGGGGCTTGTTTTTGTTGTTGTTGTTGAAGTATACCTTCTCACACATTGGTGAGGTAGCATTTGTGTAAAAGTTTAAGTTTAGGTGTTAGATATGTAAGTACATAGAAATTAAGTGGTATGTATGTAAATCTTTCAAAATACTAAATGTCAACGTGCATTCTATTGGTTATTAACTATGAACCTATTCTGAGATTAAAGCAAGATACATTAAATTTAATAAATAAATCACATAAAGTATGATGTGCTTATATTTACAAATTATCTTTATAGAAAATCTACCCAAATTTCTTAAATATTGGTTGCAAAAAAATATATACTTCCAGATTTGACCATTAGATAGAATTTTTAAATTTAATTTTTCTTTATTCCATTTTTCATCAATAAATTTATTAAAATATTATGAATTTTACTTTCTATATATGGTTTTATTTATGAATTTTTAAGTCAAGAAGAAGTTAAACAAAACAAACAACATGTATATGAATAGCACTTACTGTAAAGTTCATGGCTTAGTATAACACTTCTTTTTTGCGCTCTTTGCCCAACAGAACAAAATAAAATCACGCGTGCTATTTATGTTATGAGAGTGTTGTGCTGCATAAAGCTGCATAGTGTGGTGCACATGTGGTGTACTATTTTTTTAATCTACTTTTTTTTATTTCAAAATTATTTATTCTTAAAGCTTTTTTTGGATGTTAAAGTTTAGGGGTATTTAGCTGCATAACACACATTTCTTATGTATTTACTATCTAACACCTAAACTTTCATATTTACATATCTAACACCTAAACTTTCATATTCACATTTTCTAACACTTAAACTTTCTATTTACACGCATACCACACATTTCTTGTGTTTTTTACATATCTAACACCTAAATTTTCATTTTTACATGCATAACACAAATCTTTATTAAAACGTCAAAAAGTCCACTTATATTTAATTTTGAAATGTGAAACATATCTTTTCATGCATAGTTTTATGCACCAAAGTGTTATAGATGTAAATATAAAATTTTAGGTGTTAGATGTGTAAATACATAAATATTGTGCTGTACTATTGTAAATTTCCCAATGTTTAACTTCATATAGCCGCTCATGCTTCTTATGATTGCTGATTTGTTGCAACCTTCAGGTTTCTATATAAACACTAGTGTGGTGAATTGTGCGAGTCTATCAAGTCGATAAGGCCGTGAGCTATTAATCACAAAGCATTTAGCATTGTCATCAATCCAAAATACTTTATCATAATCATCAAGAGAATTTGTATCAGCTTTAATTTAGATAACCCGGAATAAATGGGAGAGTTTTTGGGACAGAGGGACCGAGTCTTTGAAGAGCACAATAGCTTGTCGATGAAGATCCAAAGCCAATAAGATCACTATTTTTTCTTTCTTCTGTATTAACATTGCCTCATTATTCTAACAAAAAATTGAATCATGTGATTCCATTTTTGCCATCATTATGATTTTTCTTTTTCTATTTTACTTCGGTTTGCTGTTTGATTGATCTAATTTACTTTAGTGATATTGTGTCACTATATGCTTCGAGTTTGTTTGCTTTCTATATTAAATGATGCTAATTTGTAGAACTATCATCTTATTGAAGTTACATTGCTAATTGCATTGTTCACCGTTTGAAGTTAATGTTTTGCATTGGTACAATAAATTTTTTTTTCTATGCAAATCTAGCTATTTTCATTGCAATTATAATTTTAGCTTCCAATGTAACCGTCTTTTGTTAACTTTTATGTATCTTACAGCAATCTCATTTGCTATTTTATTTGTGAATATATATATATATATATATATATATTTGTGAGCTTTTCATTTGGAATTTGTTAGCAATATTGGTAAATGAAGGATATTTTTTAACCTTAAGAGTTGGTATGATAGTATGGACCTTCAGCTTTATAACCATTGCAGGAGAACCATTAGTAACGATAATTTTTTAGTACTTGTGCATGGAGCATGAGAGCTGACAAGTTAAAACGTGCAAGTCATGCGGTATGTATCCCTTGAATCAACTATTTAAGAATTGACTAAACACCCTTTTGTGACATATGACGCCCAAAAGGAAATGAAAATTTACTGAAGAATATCAAGGAGTATGTACTAGAAAGTTTTTCCTTAAGGGATCCTCATTTCTCTTTTCCATCATGGTGGCTGAATTCTCTATTAGATGAGCTTGAGACTCTTGGTCGTGGTGGGTCGCTTAGATTTTTCTATTTTCGATTTGGTGGTTTCTTTTTAGTTTTCTCTCTTTTTAATGTCTTGATTTATTGTAGAAAATATTTTGAGATTTGGAATATAGCAACACCCTTTATTTATAGTAGGAGGGGTATTAAACCCAATTACAATAAACACAACAAATGAAAAAAAATAAAACATAATAAAATAAATAAAAAAGAAATAGAAACAAAATAAAACAAATAGGAAAGAAAGAAAACAAAATAAAACAAAAAGGAAATACATTATGAGGGAATGAAAGTTAATAATATGTAATAACTGTTAGGAATTGTCGTTATAAATCTAATGTTATGAATCTAATACTCTCCCTCAAGTTGAAGCATAGATACCAGTCATGTTCTATGGTGAGAATATCCACTAGTTGACTACTGAAAGACACAAAAGAAGCACAAGTTTCTCGGACTCCAATATTTTCCTCATTGAAGTGTCTACCAATCTCCACATGTTTGGTATGATCATGTTAGACTGAATTGTGAGCAATGCTGATGGTGGTATTATTATCACATAATAGTTGCAGCAAAATGAAGGTTGATATTCAGAGTTCACCGAGCATGATGCGTAACCATAATACTTCATAGATCCCTAAGGACATGGGCCAAAATTTAGCTTCAGTAGTGCTTCGGGCAACCACAATTTTTTTTTTGCTTTTCCACGTGACAAGATTTCCCCATACAAATGAGCAATACCTCAAGGTGGAACATCATTCAAGAATTGACGCGACCCAATTAGCATCTATACAATAATAGATCGCGAGGTGTGACGAGAGAAAAACAAACTTGAGCCCGATGCACCTTTTAAATAGTGGAGAATCCTGTGGACAACTTGAAGATGGTGTTCTTAGGGTTCATGCATGAATCAACTCACTATATCAACTGCATGACATATGCTTGAGTGAGTATGTGCGAGGTAGATGAGTTTCTCAAAAGGCGTTGGTAATGAGTCTTGCTGATAGACAACATTGAAAATGTCAGATAATTTTTCATTGGGATCCACAGGGATAACTGCTGGTATGCACTGAAGAAGGGTTTTCTCAACCTATAGATCAACCATATATTTGCATTGAGATAAATAAATGCCCGAGTTAATCGAGCTAATGCCATGCTTAAGAAGTATCGAAGAGATCTCAAGTCCTTCATTTTAAATGACTTAGCTAGAATGTCTTTTAAGGACTCTAATGTTGGAAGATCGTTGCCCGTAAGAATGATATCGTGAATATAAACATTAAGGATAGCTATATGGCCGTTAGAGGAATGTCGGAAGAAGAGTGTGTAATTCAATTAAGCTTGAGTAAAACCACAACCTGCACACTTGCCAGTTGGAGGCAATTGAGTCAAAGCTAGAAGGGTGAGACATGTATACCCCTTTTGTAAGCTCTCCATTCAAGAACACATTCTTGACATCTAGCTGGAATAAAAGTCGGTCCAGTTTCACCACATGGAGCAACATGACCCGAATAATGTTTAACTTAGTCACTAGAGCAAATGTGCCTTCATAGTCAATGTCGTAGGCCTGTGAGTATCCTTTGGCGACTAATCGTGCCTTGTTGCGTTCAAAGGATCCATTAGAGTTGAACTTGGTGTTGGAAACTTATCGACACCCCATAAATTTCTTACCTAGAGGAAGATCAGCGACGTCTCACGTATGTTTCCACCGAACGACATTTATTTTCTCTATTACCGTCGTTTTCCAGGCTGGATCAACAAGAACAACCTTAATAGTAGCTGAGATCTGATGGTTTGTCAGGGCAGTAACAAATGTTCTGTAGTTCGGCTATAAATTGTAAAAAAAAGACATTTTTTCATAGAATAGAGGGATCATGTCTGAGTGCATACCTTATTTGGAGAAGTCATCTCTTCATTCAGAGGAGGGGTCGTGCTGAGGATGCGGAGTGGAGTCAAGGTCATGCAAGGAGGTAGGGCTTATAGAGTAGGAGCATTAGAACGGGTGTGCCAAGTGTAGACATGAATAGTGGGAGGAGCTTGTGCAATCATCAGAACAAGGGACTCAGCAGATAATGCACTCATCGGAATACGAAACTCAATGGCGGAAACAATGGGGGGAACATCCATAGGAGTAAGATAAGAGACAGCGTCTAAGAACCCAAGCACCCCTTCACTTGGGGCTAAGATGGAAAAATAAGGAACACTTTCGAAAGAGGTATTAGCACTCACATAGATTTTGTGGCAGGATCAAGACATTGATACCCCTTTTGAGCGGCAGAGTACCCAAGGAAGATACATTTCATGTATTTGGAATCGTGTTTACTTCGATTGGGATAGTGTTCCTAACAAAGACAACGTACCCAAAAATCTTGAGGCTAATGTGGAGAAGGCCTGATTGGCAGATTAACATGACATCCGGATGGCTAAGGGGGTCCGAAACTTGTTAATTTTAGAGGGGACTATTTTTGAGATAGTTGTCAGTAAAAATGACATCATTCAAAAAACGTTTCGGGACATTGGATTGGAACATAATGGAGCGAGCAACTTTGCGTGTGATGTTTTTTTCTCTTGGCTACCCAATTTTGTTGAGTGTCCGCACACGAGCTATGGTGGAGGATGCCCTTATGCATCAAGAATTCACTCAAAATAGAGTTGGAAAATTCATGACCATTGTCGGTTTAAAGGGCATGAATAGGAGTTTTGAATTAAGACGAAGGCATAAAAGTTTTGGAAGGTGATGACAACCTCCGATTTGTTTTTTAAAATGTAGACCCACAAAATCTGAATGGGATCATCAATCAACCGTTTATTGGTGTGGTTGAGAGTGCGCGAGGGTCCCTGATCACTGTGAATGAGAGAGAAAGGAGTAAAAGGTATGTAAGTATGGGATGAGTAATGACACGATGATGTTTGACTAACTGATATGTTTCACAATTGAGCCTAGAAAAACTTTTATTAGAAAACAAATAATACAAATTTTTTAAATATTGAAAACTAGGATGACCTAAATGACAATACAATTACATAATGATATGTTTAATAACTTGATATAAGCTACAACTTTTGAGAGGTGTGTCCTCACTCTTCGTGCTCTGCTCGACTACTCTCTTACCAGTTCCAATTATCTTCCCCTAACGAAGATCCTGAAAAGCACAACCATTAAAAGAGAAATTAACAACATAATCAATATTATTCAACTTGTTAACTGATAACAAGTTACATTGCAGTTTAGCGAACATGTAAAACAGACTTAAGAGTTAGATCGGTTGTTAGTACAATCAACTCTTTACAAGCAATGAACCTACCGGAGCCATCAACAATTCTGACGGTATCTTTCCATAGCACGAATAGAGAAAACTTGCGAGCATCCAATCATGTGATCCGTGTCACCTAAATCAATAATCCATATAATAGAGGAGGAATAAACGTGAGAGCCACAGGAAGAGTTTCTTGGCGGACATGGGAGGTTGATAGACTTGTAGAGACTTGATTGGCTCCAAGAAGCTTGATCAATTGCTCCATCTAGTTTTTTAGGAATTTGGAGGATTCTTGGATGTTCTAGGTAGGAGTCGGTTGAGGCGTAGTCTCAGACATGAGACCTTTGGTAGAAGGGGATTTGTAAGTCGACTTACCGTAAAGCTTCTAACACTTGTTGGAAGTGTGGTTTGGTTTGTGACAGCAATCACAAGCGGGGTAACTTATTTGAGATGACATTGGAGAGGATTGAGCACTTTTTGAGATGAAGGCAAACAATTTGACCGAAGGAGTAGAACTGTCGAGCATGACAAATCTCAAGCTTTCTTTTCGACTAATCTCATTGTAGGTTGCGTGAGCGGAAGGAAGAGGTTCACAACTAGAAATATGACCCTGGACTTCATCAAGGTCTTTATTAAGGCCAACCAGGAATTGGAACATGCGATCTATTTCTACAATATTCTGGAAGAGGGATAGGTCGGTCGGAGAATCCCAAGTGTAGTCGTAGTACATGTCACATTTCATCCATAGTGCAACAAAGTCATTATAGTTCTTAGATACCTCATAAAGTTGGCTGAAATTTCATACATGGTATCACAGACAACCGTCCAGAGGGCTCTAGTTAAAGGGAGGAACATATATGAATGACCAATCAAAGTCTCCGTGGAGTTGATCAACCAAGACATGACCATAGAATTCTCCACTTTCCAAGCTCCATATGCCGGGTTAGTCTTTGGAGGCTGACGAACCATACCTGTGAGGTAACCAATTTCCAAGTCCTTTGATGAACAAGAACACCGCTTGAGACCATTGGAGAAAGTTACTACCATTTGGTTTATGGGTTGTGATTAAGAAATTCATGCTGGTTTCCAATC